AAAAAAAAAAAAAAAAAAAAAAAAAGAAAAAAAAAAAAGTGCATTGGCCCCACTCATGAAAGTAATTTTTAGAATCAGTATTATTACACACAAATATTATTCTATCATTTTGTTGTTTGCTATGTTTTTCAGAATAGAATTAAGGGTTAAGACTAATGAGTATTAAGGTGATTCAGGGAATTTGTTTACTATTAGGTGGAAGGATTGAACTGGAATTAAACTAACGACATCGTATGGTGCCTATTTTTCTCGGTTTTTTTATTTTTTAAAGAAAATACTGAATCAGAGAAATTTCAAAGGCGTTAAGCAGTTTAGCTCTATTATAAAAATGAAACTTGAGAGAAAATTAGGCTCTGAAATGCAGTTAGGTTGATTCGGGTCAAATTTGCTCAAATGTTGATTAAATTTTTGGAAGAAACGTGACCTACGTTAGATTTGGAACTGAAGTATGTACGTTTAGATTGCACCAAGATAAATTTCTTTCAGTTAAGTGGTATAACTTTTAGCTTTGTAGCCTTCATTTTCTTAAAATTTTCAATTGTCTTTAACATATATTGTATGTAAAAGTCTAATTTACTGCTCATATTAAAAATATGCATTCCAAAATTCTGCACAGATTGCAGCCTCGTTCAGCTGTTATCTTCCTCTCTCCTTCGCTATGAATGAATTAGCCTCAACCTTAACATTGGGCACATATGCATTTTTTGCATGTAGACCTCAACATGTTATCCATAAAGTACCTACTTACTTTGTAATTTTTAACTCATTGGATGATATGTCTCTAATTTTCTCATCTCTTGTCTCCTGATTTTGAATTCTACCAAATGAGACTCGTTACACCTGCAAATCTGAATGTAGGGAGCTTTTTTTTTTTTTTCTTTTTTAACAAAATTAAGTAGGATGTGATCAGTTTTTATGTTTATCAATTGAGACACTCTCCACTCATACGGGTCAAACTCTTTGCATATTGGTTTTATCTGTTTCGCACACATTAACTTGTTTTTGTAAGTTGCCAGTAGTGCTTACTTGGTTTAATTCCAGAATAATTATTTTTTCTCAATTTTGGTATCTCTCTTTTTAAATCATCATTTCATGATTAGCGTTTTACTTCTGCTTATATTTTTCTCTGATTTCCATCTTTGCACTTTATTTTGGTTTGTATTGTAGTTCCTTCTCTCTAACATGAATTAAACTCTTTCCTGCACACTTTCACAACTCTAATCACCATCTATGCATAAATGCAATGTTCCTAATCAGCAGCATTTTCTTGAACCTTTTTCTTATCGAACTGTCACACAATGACTAACTCACATTCAATGGTGGGTAATAAGGAAACTTTGCTGCACATTTTCCTGATGATAACCTACTTTTGAGTTCAGATTTGAACTATGTAAAGGAAGGGAAAGAGAAAAAGTCTCAGCAAACCCTGGCATAACTTGATTGAAAGGAAAACCATTTTGATCAAATGATGGAGAATTAGGCGAGGAACGACTGGAGTTTTATCTCGTCATTAGAAGCAATCGTTATGCTTTGAATTTCATACTTCTCTGTGCCGTATGACCTCTTGAGATTGTTTTAAAGTTGCTTGTGCAGTCTTCCGCAACAAGTTTCCCGATTGCGTTCATCAATTGCCGCAATTTAATGCTGAAAACAGAAACAATAAGAATGCTTGCTTCTTGATTATATCTCTAAGCTTAGCATGCATACTGTAAATTTAGTCAATACATACCTTAGTGCTGTATGCATTGCAGTCTTGACCGCAATCTCTTACTAAAAATTGCTTCCTCCAAGGTCCTTGTACACTTTCATGGTACTATTGGTTTTGGTTAGTTTGAAGAATTGACCATGTAGGTGAATATTCTTTCCTTTCATTTCTTTAAATGAAAACAGCTTGTTTCAATTTTCGCACTCTTAGTCTTTAGTCGTAAAAGAAGTGCCTCAGTCCCAAATTAGTTGAGAGCAACTTGAAATAGTCTCAGTAGCATTCATAAATTATTATATTTCATCAGTTAATTTTAGAAGAATGAATAAATACCATTATCATAGACTTCTTCATTTGTTGCAAGAAACAAATGTTTATAGCTACATTTATTGCTTCGTTCGGTAACTTCTTATTATTAAATCGGAAATATAATGTCTCAATGGTGAAACTACCAAACCATATATTGATGGTGAAACTGCAAAAATGAATATCAGGGTTTTGCTTATTGCGGACTTTCTGACTTTATTTTCTGCGTCGGAAGCTACTAAATAACTTTTGAAACCTTCGATGATCTTTATTCTCTACTTGTGTAGAATAATCTTTGAAAATTCCGAGCCATATTGTTTGTCTAATCTCCTTATAAGAATAAATCAGGAGCAGGCATTTTGAGACACTGCAACCAAGATATGCATTTTTCTAGTTTCATGGTCAATATTGATTCCACCATATTGCAAATTTCCTGCTACATCATATGTCTTGAATGACTGATCATCCTCATTAAATACGATTTTGTAATCTTTTTCTTTGCCCTCTCAAGAATACCTACTCAAAATTTGGTGCATCAATTTCCAGTTTTACTCTTCTGAGATATAAAGGAGCAGAAATTCGGAAACTCAATTGAGATCTTTGTTTTCGTAGTTTCACTGTTTTTATATTTTCTATTTGTAAAAAAATTTCATTGAATAATTGTTTAAGCCTCTGTCTTCCATCCCTTTATCGTTTTGTAGAAAATTACTAAACAATTTTTTAGCTCTCTGAAGATATAGTAGCACTTAAAATTTGTATTTTTTCTCCTTGCAGTGGAATACGTAGATAAAATAAGAAATGGAAAAAAAAGAAGAAAAATGAAAAATAAGCCTTGAAGAAATTCCTGATGGAATCAATATTTACATAAAAAACAGATTTATTTGTAGGAAGTAATGTTATAAAGCATGTACCAGATACCTCTGTACTTTTTTGTCCTCATCAAGCAATTCAACTAAAGAGTCAGTATTTTTTTTTTTTTTTTTTTTTTTTTTTTTATCGAGAGAAAATTACAATGTCTTGAGGGTTAGAGGTAACCTTAAACTTGCCAGGGCTTGGCATTTCCGTTCAATCTGCTTTTTCGTGAAAGTACCTTTTCATTACCTGACACATCTTTAAACACGATTGCCTGAAAAAAAAATCTGGCAATTAAACCTACCAATCTCAACTCTGGCGTTTATTCCTAAATAACTTTTTGAATTTATTGTTTTTTCAATGCAGTTGAATTTACAAGGTGTGGTTTTAAATTTCTTTGGACTCCAAAATGATTGTGTTTTTCAATGTTTACGCAGGGGGCTCTCTGGAAATGTTCATGACTGAAGATCAGAAGAAGTATTATAATGCCATGAAGAAAATGGGATCGAAGAAACCCCTCAAGGCCATCCCCAGACCAAGAGTGAGTATCTACTGCAGAAGCATCGTTTTCTTGTCCTCTATCGCTAAGTGCAAAGTGCCAAGTTAATCAATCATGCTCAGAAGCAAAAGTGCAATTTTAATGTGGACCAGTGTGGATGTGAACAAAAGCTCTGTCATTTTCCTTGGAAACCTCACTAATCTACGTAAAAACAAAAACACTGAAACCTTTTCTAATAATGAAGCGTCTGGTTCTATCAGTTTGAAAAAGAGAGAAGATATGATCCTCATTTCAAATCACAGAACATTACAGTCGAACCATTTTGAATTACTGAGTTGGCTCACCCGCTGATCGAGGTCAAAAATTCAATTATTAATGCATGAGAAATAGATGTTTTTCTTATAGAGCTTTTAGACTCCTAGACGTCTTTCTTTTTATATATAGAGCTTTTGCCAAGGGGGCTTTTCCTTATTAATTTTGAACTTTTTGATTTAAGAAGCTTCGAATTTCTGATCACACACTTTTTTACATAACTTGGTTTGTTCCTATTTCTCAACTCAACTCATGAAAATGGATTTTGCAATTTATAATTGCTCTCTAAATTTACACATAAACCCAACAATAATTTTTTACCGTAAGTTTGAATTTGTACTTCTTTTTTCTTTTTAGTGGAGACCGCAAGCCATCGTTTTCGAGATTTGTACGGATAAGAAATTTGACATGGTCATTATGTTGTTCATCGGCTTGAATATGTTGACTATGACAATGGATCATTACCAACAAACTGAGCTGTTCAGTATGGTTCTCGATTATTTGAACATGATATTCATAGTTATTTTTAGCTCCGAGTGCCTCTTAAAAATATTTGCCCTTCGCTATCACTACTTCAAAGAGCCCTGGAACCTCTTTGATTTTGTTGTAGTGCTGTTATCAATTGCAGGTAAGTTCATTTGCCAGTTCCTGTTTTTGGGTCATAATTGATTTTAAAGAAATAAGTCACTAAACCATGAACAACTTTTAACAAATTTATCAATAGATAAATGACGTGTAAAACATGATGCGCACATTTAGAACGCAAAATAGACCGTAACTCAGAAACCGAGAAAAATGCAGTTCAAAATGCATGACTTTTTGGCAAATTTAAAATACCCCACTTTTGCGCCAAACAAAATGATGTCATTCGGCACCAGTCGGAAGCAAGCAAGGGTTTCTATGACTTCCGTCAAATGTGTTATACTCTCCGCGTGTAAAAACAATAGAAAAGTCAAAACTGTTTTTTGAGAATCAAAGAATCAAATCTCATTCATGTTGTCTGTAGTAAACAAGCAACAATTCCACATTGGAATACGTTTTATTTTAACGAACATAATGGGAAATGAGAGGAGGTGGCATTTTGACGACCGCAGTACATATCTCTAATTATTTTCCTGCCGTTGCGGCGCGTTTGAAACTCCTTTGTGTCTTTGGACTTTTAAAAGGCAGACTTTTTCGGGATTTTGGCTCCAAAAATATGCAATAGATTACCATGTAATCCATGCACCAAGTATTGTTAGACTATCAAATAAAAAATGCAAGGTTTAGTGACCTATTGTAACAATGATATTTATTGACACATTATCTGCAGTAAGGGCATCCATGTAATCCATGCACCAAGTACTGTTAGAATATTAAATAAAAATGCGAGGTTCAGTGACCCTTTGTAACAATGATATTGACACATTATCTGCAGTAAGGGCATGCATGCCTTAACTGTGTTTTGAGAAAAACGCATTTAAATTAAAGGGTTCTTGGAGCAGAAGGTCCTTTTTGCAAATAATGCAATGTTTCAGTAGGTAGTTAGTTTTGAAAATGATTCCATTCGTTTAAGGTAGTTTTGAAAAAGCCCTCTAAAACAAAGGATTAAAATTTAATTAAAATGCAATTAAAATTAGCATTTCAAATGAATTCATTGTAATCCGATTTCCTATCTGGCAACTATTGTCAAATGGCTAAAGACAATGCCTACTATAATATCCAAATGTAATTTTATTTTAAAACTAGAGACGCAAAAAGACTTCCAAACTATTTTAAATATTTAATATTTGGATTGAAACTGACTCATCAAGAGAGTTCTAAAAGAAGAGGCAGCAGGAATAACTACATACAATGGTTTCAACCGAGCTGCAATTATCATCATCAAGATAAATACCTAACTAAATGTATCATCTCGCTTACATGTCTGATTTATTGCTTAGTAATAACTGTAAAGTTGTATTTTGAAAGGTGAAAGGACTTCTCAAAAAAATTGTCCTCTTATCTTTTATCATCTTCTTTTTAGGTCTGGTTTTGAGTGACATCATTGAGAAGTATTTTGTATCTCCGACATTGCTCCGAGTGGTTCGTGTGGCAAAAGTGGGGCGAGTGCTGCGATTGGTGAAAGGTGCCAAGGGAATCAGAACTTTACTCTTTGCTCTTGCTATGTCACTGCCGGCACTGTTTAACATCTGTCTTCTTCTCTTCCTCGTCATGTTCATTTTTGCCATTTTCGGAATGTCGTTTTTCATGCATGTCAAGGACAAAGGTGGTCTTGATGATGTTTACAACTTCAAAACGTTTGGTCAATCCATGATACTTCTGTTTCAAGTAAGTGCTGATGATCTACTCATTTGTCTTAAAAGTTTAAGTGAATAATAATCTAGAAATGAATGTCGGAAATGCCAGAATATTTCTCAGTTTCTTTTTCAAGAACTGTGGGTGAAAAAAACAAAAAGAGGTACTCACTGTTTTTTAGTTTCACTCAGTGTTTTTTTATAGATGGCTCGGCCCTTGTGGCAAGTAGTAGGAGACTCTCTTATTCAAATCAGAGGCGCGTCGTATCAGTTTACCCAACAATTTCATTGCATATTTGTCGCCTAAAGTAACTTAATAGCCAAAGTGCGTCACCTGAGTATCTTAATTACAATTTTTCAAAATTTCAGCTCCTATTTCCTTTTTTTGAAGAGGAAGAAAACTGACTTTAGAGCTTGAAATCAATACAGAACAATACGCTGCTAGAGAAAAAAATCAGAGAAGTTTTCAAGAAAGTATATCGGCTTGCTTCAAAAAAAAAAAAAAAAAGTGACAGAAAGTCTGCAATGTTGCAAACGGAGGTACATGGTAACACCTTGGCTATCGAATTGCTTGTCATGGCCCTGAAATAGAAAAAATCTCATAATTTTAACGGAAGTGTTCATAACATGCTAGAAGGACTTTGTAGCAGTTCTGTGATTAGTTCACCTTCTTCATCAAATTACCTCAATTCCTCACACAAATTTTCCTGCTTGTCCTTTTAGCTGAGAATGCCTAATAGCAGACCGTAAGTGTGAAAATTTTAGGCAATCTACAGGAAACTCACTTGATTATATTTTAATCTGGAATAATGTGTTTCTTTTTTTTTTTTAGATTTCCACCTCTGCTGGTTGGGATGGAGTCCTTGACGGCATTATAAATGAAGAAGACTGTGATTTACCAGACATGGAGATGGGCTCACCAGGAAACTGTGGGTCCTCAACTGTCGGCATCATGTATTTACTATCATACCTAGTCATTAGTTTTTTAATTATCATAAATATGTACATTGCTGTAATATTAGAAAACTATTCGCAAGCAACCGAGGACGTCCAAGAAGGTTTGACGGATGATGATTACGATATGTACTATGAAATTTGGCAACAATTCGACCCAGACGGAACGCAATACATCCGCTACGATCAGCTGAGCGATTTCTTAGATATTCTAGAGCCTCCGTTACAGATCCATAAGCCTAACAAATACAAGATCGTAACGATGGATATACCAATATGTAAAGGTGATATGATGTTCTGCGTCGATATTTTGGATGCACTTACGAAAGACTTCTTTGCCCGTAAGGGTAATCCGATCGAAGAAACAGCAGAAATCGGGGAGGTGAACTTACGGCCGGATGAAGTTGGCTATGATCCAGTCAGCTCGACGTTATGGAGGCAACGTGAGGAGTACTGTGCAAGACTGATTCAAAACGCTTGGAGGAAACACAAGCAACAGCGACAAGAAGGAGGCGCAGACAGCCTCCACTCTGGAGATGCGGATGCTGATGCTGATGCCTGTGATACAGCTGTGCTAGTCGAAAGTGATGGTTTCTCCATAAAAAATGGGCACAAGGTGGTCATCCATTCTAGGTCTCCCTCTACCACATCTAAACTTGCTGATGTTTGAGATTAGCCACGTCCTCCTATCCAGGTGAGTTTCCAGTCTCTCCTTAATCGCTCAGTGCCACCCTCTTTTTCTAATTCATTTTCTTAAAACTCTAGGAATTTTATCAGAGTTTCTTAAATCCTAAGTAAGTGGCAAAGGAACCTCGTTTTGAAAATGCCAGAAATGGGACCCGTGCGAAACAATATTTTTGGTAGGCACTGATGGCATAGCTAGCCAGGAGAAACAGTGTTTGCGGATTTGCTGAACTCATATTAAATCATCGCCTCGCTACATCACTCAACTGTTGGATTTTGATCGGCTTTTTCTCCTCTTAGAAATGATTTTTTTTAATTTTTTAATGAACTTCTTGGTTTTTTCACGAAATTTCAAGTATGAAGATGTACACTACAATCCTCAAAAATTCCTTACCACTGATCCATCCTACTCTACAATACACAACAGTCAGAGTTTTCCACTGACATCCTTGTTGGTAAACTATTGCTGTGCTCCGTTTTTAGCAACGGTATACTCTGATGAGGCCGCAGCAGTCAGGAACAATTAGCCCAAGTTGAACTATATTCTCACTCTAAGCAGTGTTGCTCTGTTTGACGGTTTTTTAAATGGCCCTAAATCATAGATGTACATGGCAACAGCACAGTTTTGGTAATTCCATAAATGCCGATAGTTTTCAGTGAGAATACTTTAATTTTTACCATTTTGTATCGGAGGCTTGTAGAAAACTAAGAGCACAACCCTACATCTCAAGGTCAGCTTCCAAATAATTGATTGTTCAGTGGCTTTGTTTGTTTGGTGTTTCTAGGCAAGAATGACGACAATGGTGATTGCAGAACATTGTTATTTTCCAACATCATGTACGGATATTCAACTGTTTGCAGAAATTGCATTTCGCTGCGACTGTCTCATAATAATCCCTGCTTTTTCTTTTTAAATGAATGTTGACATATTGACAAATGAACTACATTTTGCAATGAGAAACTACTGTGTTTTTTAGAAACAGTGTATGGATGGCCAAAGTGCAAAACCATGTGCCTCTTTTGCAATGTTTCAAAATTTACGCTTCCATATTTTTTCCAAGAGGAGCGAGTCAACTTTGTAGCTTGAAATTTATAAAATATATTTTCTTATTCTGATAACAGATAAGATTAATCAAGGCAGTTTTCAAGAAATCACGTTGTCTAGTTTTTCAGAGAAAAAATAAAGTATGACAGGAAGTCTTCAACATTGCCGACAGAGCAATTTGCTTCGCAATTTGGTCATCGATTTGTACTGTTAGTTTTCAATACCGATAGGTGCTTTCACGGATGAGTTAGAAATGGTAGTTCCCCATCATAAAATGTAGTCCAAATAATAAAAGCACAAAAATAAAATCACAAAACGAAAATCAAGTATTTAAAGCATCTTTAAGTTTATATTCGTATGGTGATTGGGCGTCGCAGAGCACAAGGCTGCGCTGTGAAAGTGACTTTATGTATGTAAGTTCATATTCCTAAGAATTGGAGCAACTAGGTGATAAGAAATACATTTCTCTAAAGCTGTGTGTTTAATCTTTTTTTTCTTTTTCTGTTTCAGACTCCTGCTGAAGGAGAGGGTACGGAGTGACGTGGCGCCAAAGTTTTTCTTTTTTTTAAATCATTATTTTCTTCATTTCTTTAAGTTTGTTTGTCTCTCCAAGTAAAAATTGCTTAGTTTATGCTTCTGTAAGAACACTAGTACCAAGCAAGCAAGTGAATTTTTCCTATATTTTCTATTAATAACCTCAATTTATTTTAGTTTAACAAAGCGATTCTTTGAGTTTCGAGAATCAAAAAAGTGAAACTCTCATAATGAATAGTGCGGAAAGAAGCAAAAAATTTAAAAAAGTAGGATGTATAGCATCCATGTGTATAAAATAAAAAAAAACTTTTATTAAATTTTTTGGTTAATTACAATAATTTTTAGGAAATAATTTGTGAAATAATTTCAAATCTTTATTATATTTCTGCAAATACTAAGCTTTTTAAATTGAATTTTTTTTCATTTTGGATATAGTTTATGGAAATGTTGCTAGGTTTGAACATATTAATTTTATTTTTGTTTTTATATGGATTTATATAATAAATAGTAATTTTAATATTAGCAGGTACGTACTGTCAACCAAAAAATAATTGAATCAGCTCAAATTTTAAGGTCAATCTTTTAGCCCCTCCTGTGAGTTTTTTCTTCTTTCTTGTGATATATACATCCCTCTCTTTATTTTCCCGAGTTTCTCTTTCAAAGTTTCTCTCATTGATAAATGAAAACTTAAAAGCTTGCGATTATAAAGCAAAGATTTTGATGAGGAATGTGCATAAATTCAAAATTTTTTGGGTGACAGTATTATTTGTACCTTCTAAGTTTCACTGGTTACCAGTGATATCAAACGCTTCACTTCTATTAATTAATGTATCATTAGAGCAGATAACTTAGTATTTAAAAAACCCTGGAAAGAAAAAAAAACTCAAAATCTTAAAGAAATAATACCACAGAAAAAAGAAAAAAAAATGATCATTTCTAACTCATTTATTTGATGAAGCATTTTTTCTTCTCTCTAAATCTCCCCTTCCCTTTTTATTATTTTTCTTTATTAGTCAGCAATCCTCTGTGAAATTACTCTTGTACAGGTACAATCTTACATTAAGTGATACTGTGTATTTGTCCAGTGACCCTCTAAACTTTTTTTTTTTGTGAAATTTGATTTCAAATTTTACTTTTTTGTGATTTCTTTGTTTTGAATCATCCAAAAAGAAAAAAAAAAGTAAAAATACCCTAATTATTTCAAGCTAAATAAATGCTTGTTAATAGCTCAAAAGTTTTTAAGTGTTATTGAAATCTTATGAATTGCTTCATGAGATCTTTTGTGCATATTCGTAAGATCTTGTCTGCAAGAAATAAATGAAAAATTGCCGAAATAGCTCACTACACGCAAGCACAGTAATTCTGTGACTTGCTCTTTTGAAATCAGTACTAATACCTGAATATCAGATCATTTCAGTCGATAAATTCGTGAACTGCCAAAGAAAATATCTAATTGAAGATGCAAAATTAAGCCTGGAGTGTTTCAGTGCAACTATGAAAGAAAATAATTTTGGCGTCCATTTGTAATTCGTGAGAAATCTCCGATTCACTTCAGTGTAGTTTAAATGGACTCTTTGATCCACCCGGACAACTACTATGTAGACAATATCTTACTTTCATTGCAAGTGAAAATGCCAAAATCAGGCTGGAAAACAATTATTGATGTCAGTATCAGTCGCTCCGCCAATAAGTTGAAAATTCCTTTCTTTCTCTTCTTACTCGGTAATAATTTTGGAGTAAATAAAAGGAAAGTTTCCCCTTTTTCATTGGAATACTCAATTATTTAAATGTGAGCCCTTAGAATCAATCAGGTCCTACAATATCAAACGGATTCATCCACATCAAGAACATGCTTGCTTGCTCGCATGGTTTGAAAAATTTAAATCTGGGCCTTACAGAACTCTCACACAATGTGAGCTTAAACGACAGTGTAGTCATTTGACACACCTCTTTTTTCTGACTCACATTTTGGCATTTTTGCTTGTTCCTTTCTTATTTTGGTCTCAGCCAATTATTGCTAGCAACGATTTAACGATCTTTTAGATAATAATTTGTAACTCCATTTTTATATCTTGAAATGATTTTTCATTTTTACACAAACTTCCCTCAATAATGAAAAATCATCATTTCACTTTTGTTTTCGTTTTTTTAAATTATTTATTGTTTTGTTTTGTTTTGTTTTGTTTGATGATATGAATGTCATACCGTTATTACTCATTGTTTATAATAGTCATTATTAATAAGCAAAATCATTAAGCATCAGTATAATATATTTTTATCAAAAGACTCACTCTCAAAGCTAGCTGAAATCGTTAGTAATCTTCAATGACCCACAATTTTTCACTTTTTTGTACATTGCTCAAGAGTTTTAAGTATTTATTTTATTATTTTCAGAGCTTGCTAATGATTTTGAATTCCATCAAGAATTTTCTTGCAGTTGAATATTGTAACCTTCATTGAATGTGCCGGAACTGTTCATTCATGGCCTTCTTTTTTTTCAATTTTCTGCAGTCTTACTAATCTTTTACTTCCTTCATTACACTTAGCTTCCTTTTCCGCCCATCAGTTTTTTAGCATATCGTGTCATAGTTGATTTCAATCACAATTTATTGCTGGGAAAATTAAATAAGAATTCAATGCTGAGCAAATATTGCTCAGAATAATTCAGATTGAGGACTAAAATTTTCGGGTGAAAATTCAGTGGGACTGACCTCCTCTGAAGGAACTGACATCTATATAATGCCTTTTTTTCTAGTTACAGACACTGTTGCTTTATCTTCATAGCTCCGTCTGTGGATATGGTCACTGATCTGAACAGTTTTCCTATTTGCAGCAGTCCATAGCTGTTTTTTTTATTTATTAATAATGTAAGTCAAGACAATCTGTATGAATGAAAATAAATTGCCGGCCATTATGCTGTAGGCACTAGCATTGTGAAATTATCTCTACTTTGTCTAAAACCATCTTCACAGAACTCTTTTGATGTAATTTCCGTGTTTTATTTCTCTGTATTTTTGTTTTCACTTTTTCTTATTACGTGCAAGTTTGGTAAATTTTTTAATCACAAAATACATAGTCTAGCTTCCTTTGATTTCCCCTCGCTACAAAGCTCTGTTTTCAAAATTAGCCACCAATCACTTTTAAAAGTAACCTGTCCATTTCTTTCTCTCTCTTTTTACCCAGGTAAAATTTTTATATGATACGATTCAATTCAAAGTTCATATTCCCTGCTTGTTTTAAGTTAAATTGATCATTATGCTCAAAAGAGAAAATAATTGCTAAAACCAGAAGCAAAAATACTTTTGAAGGAGATATAATTATTGTTATGACAGTCCTGTATTATGTAACTTCTCCGAAGTACTAAAACTGGAATTTTTACCAACTTCTAATGGTATTTTCTTTTTTAAAACAGGTATAATTTTTAGTTCATCTCTTTTGATTTATTGTCGTACGTGTTATTAGCAATAATATCGTTTTTAAGTTCATCTGTTCATTTGTTCCTAGTTCAGTGGACCTGTAAAAAGAAACTTTCAAGTACTTACCAAGTTTCGCCCCCTGATGAAGGGTTTGTGCATTGTAAATTTTCAAAGGTATGTGTTTATGCGAGATTTTTAAAGACTGATTGTATTGAAAATCTAATTTTTCGTTCATTTTTAAATTCTTTATTTATTTTAGTTTTAGCAGCTCGCTTATTGATTATCCACGGAATTTTGAAATCTTAACAGTAACGTGCATACAAAGATTACTATCATCCATAATTTTTATGTAAATTTAAATTCAATGACTGGCACAAGTAGACCAGATTTTTTCATTTTACACAGCGATTTTTTCTTTTGTAAGTTGAAGGAATGAATCTAGATCATCTCTTAATCAGACTGTTTTTGTTAGCTAGCGAGTTCGGTATTCCACAAAGTGTCGAAGTGCATATGCTTAATCTCTTTGTAATCCGTCCAATAACGCCATAGGCTAATTTGTCTTCCCTCCAGATTAGCATTATGGGTTTTGGTGTTTGGATCTAAGATTTGCCTTATTTAAAAACAAAAGGAGAAAAAATACTCAATACTTTTTCTGTTCCATGTTGAATATATTTTGCTTGGTTTTTCCTCTATTTGAATAAGGGTGGGTATTAAAAATCTTGACATTTTTCTCATCCTTATGCAAGTTTTCGTTTTGTTTCTTGTAGACTACCAATAGGTTTATTGCAGTAGTCTGCTTGTATCATAGGCCAAAGACATTTGATCAAGATTCATACCTTGCAATTTTACCAAAGTTGAAAGGAAAAAATCGCTTTTCATTTTTGCCTATTTTGTAAAAGTGAATTACCTTTTGCAATTATTTGTTCATGAATTGTTTTTGTTCAAAGTCATCTATGAACATGATTGTCAATTGACCACTAAGTAGCTCGCTCATTATCAGCTGCCAGATCTATTATTGAATGTACTTAAGTGTCTGAAAAAAAGAAACTCAACTATCTGTTGAATCGAAACATCAATCAATAAAGTGTTATAATTGATTCCAATGTACATAAATAAATGTGTGCATATGTGAATGTCATTTGTAAATGATTACAGAACAATGCCTTCTTTTTTTAATCTTATTTTGGACCCACCTATTTGCTTGCAGAATCATGCTCGGCTATTGTTTACCGATCACTCTTGCTGTATACTTGCTTCACTGCATTACATTGTCAGTTTCATTTGATTCTCTCTTAATTTGTTCTCTTTTTTTTTTCAATTAATTCATTTTTTCTGTTTTCTCTCTTTGGTTAATTTCAACTTGTCAAATTTATCATATAACAAGTAAAACTTTTTCAATTTGCGTTAAATGATTATTTTTATTCTTGTCATTACTTTTTTCAAAAATTATGAAAGCAGCCATTTACAATCAGGTACATGCTCTCACTATTACGATTAGAAGAATCATTGAAGATGTTTTCGCATCATTAGTCGTCACTTCTTTGTTTTTTGTTGCTGGTGATGTGGGAGAACTTTTATTTCATGTTCATCAAAAAAACTTATTCTCATTTCCCCCTGCTTCCTCTGGGTAAAATTTCCGATTTTTAGCCCAACCTCCAAATTACTTTTTTTGGATTGTCCATCTTGGGCGACAGTCTGATACTACCAATAGGTAACTTCTGTGTTTGGATTCTCCTTGAGAACAGTTGAGTTGCATTTTTCAAGCTTCTACTTAAGCTTGACTCTGGCACTGTAAAACTTGCGAAAACCTTGACAGCTTCGAACACGTCAGAGGAAACACTCATGATGTCTTTTTCTGGTAGGTCAAAGCCCCACTTTCCACCTCCTGGCAGCTCAATCGTGTAGGCGTACTGGATTCCTGCATAGCCTTTAACCCAGTCAGTGCTACCACCAGCAGCAGCTCCTTAAATTAACAGAGGACATTCAGTAGGTATTCATGAAAGTGTCGAAGCAGTATTCACAGGAAACAAAAATCTTGTAACCTTGAAAACGATTGCTCGAGAAATTTTAGAGGAAAAACTTAAAAGTTTTGTCATGAAAGTTCGGATAGCCAATTTGGCTGATACCTTAAAACTCAAAGAAGTATTTTGGAATACAAATATTGCGATTTGATTGCAAAAAATTTTCTCAATTTATTGCAACTTCATTCAAATTTTATTGAAATATTCCTGCAACTATAGGCCAAATATTTGCAATCATATCGTAAAAAAAATTTCAATTTTCTGGTGACAAAAATTGAAGAAAGTTGAAATGAAAATTCCTTTTTTTGCGAAACGTATACTATTAGATACATTCAGGTGTTATTAGGCAAGTACTCTTATTCTTCAAACCAAAAGTTAAAAAAAATAAATTATTACCACAAACATTTTTGGAAAAAATTAGAGCCTCAAATTATTTCCTCAAACCTCTTGGGGCATGAAAATTTATCAATCAAGCGAGAGAAAATTTCTAGTCTAAACTAAGTAATGCTCAAAATTAATCCAAAAATAATTCCTGAGGAATGAGCATAGATATTTTTTGAAAAAAAATTTATTGGTTTGCCTTTTAGCTTGATAATAGGCCAACATTTGGACTTAAATATTTATGCTAAAATAAACTGTGTTATTGCACGCAATCTGAATGCACATATTTCCAATTAGCATAAGTCAATTTAAGTGTAGGCAAGAAGCAAAACAAGCTCCCATGTGGTCGAATAGTAATATAAGGCATCCTAAAACGGCACGCACATGAATAGATTTTTACCAAACGAGAGTTAAATTCCATGTCAGTTTTCCTTCAATTTTTAGTGTAGGCAACATGGTCTCCCACGTGGTCGAATAGTGGTATCTTTGTAAAACGGTACGTTCAGTCGGGACACTTAAATGAGTGCTTCTTATAATATAATGCAAAACAATTTGGAAAATCTCGTCATGTAAATACAGAATATTCGAAAACGCCTTCAAATGAGCCGTGAGAATAATTAAAAACTAGGAAGCAGGAATAATTTAACTAATTAATAAAAGGAACTCAAATCGACAATATAATGCAAACAAATTTGGAAAGTCTCGTCATGTAAATACAGAAGATTCGAAAACGCCTTCAAATTAGGCGTGATACCTCACGCGTTCCGGAGAGTTCAAATAGTTGTATCCCCGCGCCTTAGCAAGGCGATGGAAGTTAAATATTGAAGCAGCGTCCCCGCTTGGTCTTTCGGCTTTCCTGTGCCGCACAGGGGCGGACCGGTAGTCGAAAAGTTAGGAGGAGACCTAAATGTAAGGGCCCTTCTGGTCGTTCGGGGGCCCCTCTAAGAAGGTCCGGGGGCCGTCCCCCGGTAAATTTTGAAAATTTCACACTTTTTAAACACCTAGGCATTATTGGAGTTGGATTCTACAGTACTTGAACTTCAAAATAACCCATTCTCAGGGTTCATCGGGGGTCCCTCCATCACAAATGCTTTCGGCGACCTTCCATGTCTCTTAGAGACAAATTTTCAAGGAATTCGGGGCCTTCTAGTGATTGAAAAGGATAAGAAAATTACAACATTACGGGAAAAAACGATAACTTGAAAAAAATTCACCGCGGGGGCCACTTCGGGACCTCCGTGGCAAATTGTTACGGGGCGATCGCCTCCCCATTCCCATGGCCAGTCCGCCCCTGGACTCAATGAGTGCAAGAAAGATAGCCATATGATGCTGAGAGATTCGAAAACGCCTTCAATTGAGGCGTGATACCTCACGCGTTCCGGAGAGTTCAAATAGTTGTATCTCTGCGCCTTAGCAAGGCGATAGAAGTTTAATACTGAAATAGCGTCCTCGCGTTGTTTTTCGGTTTTCCTGTGCCGCTACTGTAGTTTCAACCGTTAAAGGCGCGAATGCCAGGATTGTATTCCGCAAAAAGGTAATTTTTGCATAATAATTAAAAATTTAGAAGCTTGAATAATTTAACTAAATAACAAAAGGAACTCAAATCTACAATGAAATGCAAAAAACTAACGTAGTTTAAGTGCGCTAAAGACAGGGTTGTATTTCGCAAATGGATAGTATTTGCAGAATAATTAAAAATTAAGGAGCAGGAGTAATTTAACTAAATAATAAAAGGAACTCAAATCTACAATATAATGCAAAACAATTTGGAAAATCTCGTCATGTAAATACAGAAGTTTCGAAAACGCCTTCAAATGAGGCGTCATACCTCACGCGTTCCGGAGAGTTCAAATAGTTGTATCCCCGCGCCTTAGCAAGGCGATGGAAGTTTAAGATTGAAGTAGCGCCCCCGTTTGGTTTTTCGGCTTTCCTGTGCCGCCACTGCAGTTTCGACTATTAAGGCCAGGACCATTAGGGCACCAAAGCCAGGATTGTATTTCGCAAAAAAATGATTGTTGCAGAATAATTAAAAACTAAGAAGCAGGAATAATTTAACTAATTAATAAAAGGACCTCAAATCGACAATATAATGCAGTAGCAACTACAGTAGCGGCACAGGAAAGCCAAAAAACCAAACGGGGACGCTACTTCAATATTAAACTTCCATCGCCTTGCTAAGGCGCAGGGATACAACTATTTGAACTCTCCGGAACGCGTGAGGTATGACGCCTCAATTGAAGGCGTTTTCTAATCTTCTGTGTTTACATGACGAGATTTTCCAAATTGTTTTGCATTATATTTTAGATTTGAGTTCCTTTTATTATTTAGTTAAATTACTCCGTAGTTTTGACCGTTAAAGCCGTAGTTTAAGCACGCGAATGCAAGGATTGTATTTCGCAAAAAGAAAATGTTACCAGAATAATTACAAATTAAGAAGCTTGAATAATTTAACTAAATAATAAAAGGAACTCAAATCGACAATATAATGCAAACAAATTTGGAAAATTCCGTCATGTATATACAGAAGATTCGAAAACGCCTTCAATTGAGGCGTGATACCTCACGCGTTCCGGAGAGTTCAAATAGTTGTATCCCTGTGCCTCAGCAAGGCGATGTAAGTTTAATATTGAAGTAGCGTCCCCGCTTGGTCTTTCGGCTTTCCTGTGCCGCTGGCGTATCGATTTCAAATTGGTGCTTTACAAAGTCTCTGAGTATTTGTCTTTTTGCACCAAAAACGGTTTTTCTTAAACTAACTCCTTCGCCCGCTGCGCAGTTTTAAGTGTTTCCTGAACAATTTTTTTTCCGAGTTGGTGTGTTTTCGAACTCACTGATTCATTTCTTTCCCCCATAGAGCTATAGTACTTAAATGACAGTGATAATACTTTACCAAGCATAGCAGACGATGAGCCAACACGGTATTTAGCACCTGAATTCCGGCTGATTGCCTCACTCGCTTTCATAGCCAAACGCTCCTGTATGTATAAAGAAAAGTATTGTGTCAGGAAAGATGCAGAAACTACACGGAGGAAAAGTGAGGAATATCTATAAAGTATAGGCGGATTCAAGGGGGACCGTAAGGGTCGCACGCCCCCCCCCTTCATACGCCTGGAAGGAGGAGGGAAGAACAAAAGGTAGAAAGAAAGAAGGAACGGACGAAAAAAGAAGGAAGGCCGCTTACATTTGATATTTATTCTTGAAGAAATTGACTCAAACTGCATATCGATGGTGAAAGTGCAGAAGTGCGTATCTCGGAAAACACGATTTTTCAGGAGAGTAAAAAAACTGTCTACATTCTTCCCTTTTGTCAGTAGAAGGGTAATAATTCTTGAGGATAGCAAGAATAAGATGCTTTTTCAGACTTCATCAATATTTTGAATAAAATCTCGCGCTGTTAGAAAATACGGCCGAAATGCCGAGATTCGCGTTTTCGGCACTAAGAATTGACACTTTATCACGAGATACGCATTTCTGCAATTAGTGTTTCAAACCTATTGTTGGCGGATTTTGATCATTCAAAAACTGAAAAAAGGGTTTCATGCTTACAATTCTTTATCAGAAGCTTTAGTTTGACCTCATACGGCCGGATCAAGCATTGTATGATTGGAAACTGACATTAGATTACGAGATACGCAGTTCTGCAATTAGCATTTTGAAGCTACTCTTGATCATTGAGATCAAAAATAGAATTTATTCAACCTTAAAATCTATTTAGAAGCTTTAGTCGATCCAATACACTAAATGAAGCATTGTTTGACCGGATTGACTCTAATAAAACTGACCGTTGTGATGAGCCGTCAGTTCAATCAGTTCATGATTGCATTGACCCAGAGAGTAAAAATGAACGTGAATGCCGCGCGCTGCTAGTAGGTAGTAGATACCTATGAAGAAATTATACTGGAGGGCCCTCGAGTGATAATTCGCCTTCAATTACGAGCGTATGCAACATTAATGACAAGTAATTGTACCTAATCCCCCCCCCTTCCCTCGTCTATCGGCCTATCACCAGCATTCACTGATATTATGCATGCTGGACTGCCTGATTATCCACATTTATCCACATCAACTTTTCTTTTAGATAGATAAATGAAAACCATTGAAAACAAACACAGAACAGCTGATCAGCTGATGTGCGGTGTTGGCGGGAAACGCTGCTGAGGAGCGCGCATTGTGATTGGTTGTGCGTAAGGCGCGCCGAAAAATGAACAGGCCTGAACGAGATACGCATTCCTGCACCCAAGCCCGAGATACGCGAAAAAAGTTCTACGGTTTTAGGTGACTTCCCGATTTTTTTCGATTATAATCTCTTGCTGGCTCATAGACGACATCTTCAACTACACGTTTATGCAGCTAACTCAAAACTGTCAAAAATCGAGATACGCACTTCTGCACTTTCACCATCGATATTTGATGCTTTGAAAAATTGAAAATTTTCTAGGCGAAGCCCCCCCCCCTCCCCCGGACACCCCTCCTCCCGCTTGAAGTATCTGACTCCGCCTATGCTATCGAGTGTAATATATTATATTCAACTTCTTCCTAGAATGTCCCAAGTTTTTCTTGCGTTAAATAATCTGCCACAGAAACCACCAAAAGTAATTTTCTTATAAGTACAGGTTCTGTCAGAGTAGGTGTAATACTATACTTAGTCATTACTGCGCTGTGATAATGAGTATACCTATGATGGGTAATTACACAATGGGCTAACGAGCTTATGCGATAATTTACAATTTACGACCCGCACCACTTAAACACAATGCTCTTACAGGGACTCAGGGACACACCGCATCTGGCAGTTTAATAGACATGTGTGCCTATGCCTAACTTTATTTTTCCATAGAATATTCACAGAAGACTCAGTTTTATGTACTGCAGTGCGAGTTCTTCTCACACTCTCAATCCCTGCTTACAAGTAAGTAATTATACAATTTTGAGGTTGGGAGGTGGCAAACTAAAAAAATAGTTTAACGTGTGCATTTGTATTTTCTCTCAAGAAAAAATAATAATAAATATAAATAATAACTTACCAAAGATTGCCAGTCAAAGGGTTTGGCACCTTGGTGACCCCAGGGATATAGAATGTACTGCAACAAGAGGAGAATAAAAGAAATAAATTAAACTTAAATAAATAAATCTTAAATTTGAACAGAAGAAAAGAAAATCAAAATTGTTTCAAGATATATTAGTCTTCTAGTCCTCGAGTTCTAGAAAACTTCTCTCTTTTTCCTTTTCCCTAGTTCACTTGTAAGAAAATGTATGTATCATTGACCATCGTGTAAAGATAAAGTTATGAAAAAAACTAGCATCAACATTTTTATATATTCTACAAATCGTGCAGAATGACGCAAAAGGAAAACTAATGTTACGCGCAAAACTGAACATTTCAGAATAATTTCTGTTTAAATTTTACAAAAACATACGTCGGGAAAACTCGTAAAAGTGCGATCCGAATAGCACGATTTGCAGTAAATTGCAATCACATGGTAAAATGATTGCTACTGCATCGGAGTGCAGTGCATGCCGCTTACCTACTAATTAAAGGGGCTCCTGTAATTGAGATGTGTTAGAATGCTTTTCCGCAACAATACTTTACATACCACTTATCTTTCTGATACGAATAGGTCATATTGTTATTTTCATCAACATTCATTGACCAAATGATGTGCTCAAAAGCATCTCAATTTCGTAGTAAACAAAAGAATAATATACATTTATTTAAAAAAAAGAAAAAAAAACTATACTATTTTCAGGTTTGGAGGTCGAATCCAGGCATTTCACAGTCGTCTGTAAATTACATTATTGATTATTCTTCATATCGACGGTGTAAGTCGGCAATCACATAACTCGTTTGCGGTGTCTGAAAATCTCCGCCTCCGTGTTATTTTTTTAAAGAAGAACTAATTGACGTCACTTCTTGAAGTTTTTGCAGAATTTTCTTCGCACAGAGAAGAAAAATTACGGCAGTTTTAAAGAATTTCCGCTAAGCAGTTTTCCGTTTAAAAAATAAAATATGACAGGAAGTCTGCGACGTCGCAGACCGAATTATGTGATTGCCGTTTTACACCGTCGATATGTTGGATCGATTCAGTTTACGCTCCATAGTTTGTGTTCTTCATAGCCTCGAGAGATCCCCCCCTCCTCCACCCAAAATTGTGCGGCCTCCCCATTGAGTTGAGCTGTTGAGTGCAGTTTTTAATGAGTAACTGGACTGGGCATCAGCTTACATTCCCGAAGCTATGGAATGATAAATATATCTTGATTTGCATCCTGTTGGCCATGATGAAGTCTCGCAAAGCTCTAGATTCTGGCTCGGAGAAAGGAGCAGGGCCTCGATAGATCCCTGAGCAGGGATCGTAATTCAGCGCAGCAAACTCTGTTGGAGGAAAAAAAAATGTCCGGAATCAAATAATAAATCAAACGACTAAAAAATTTGGCAGGAGATAAATTAGAACGTAGTGGCGGTGAAACTCCCAAACCAAGTATCTCGAAAATAATCTCTGCAAGGTTTCTAAGATAATATTTGTTATGTCCTTCTTCCCAACGATTTAACCAAATAGTTTGAGGATCACTCGGTTTAATCAAAGCTCATGGAGATATGTGGAATAGATAACTATCCGCGCCCGCCGGTATATTTGTTGCCTATGCGGAAAAATTGAAGGCAAAATTTAGGTGATCGATACTTATCATTAGGGTAACAAGGTGGCCAGACTCTTTACCCGATTTTGTTTGGTCCAACGTTTTTATGGTACATTTTTAAGTTTGCCAAATAGTTTGTTTAATATTTGTTGATGTTTTTTGAACCAATAGTGTGCTTAGTCCAGTTACAAGCAATGATATAAGTGCTGCGATTTCGTCAAATAATGAAATTTATCCCTTAGATGTCCAGGCTGGGTCAAATTGACTCCATCAGGATCGCTGAAAACACTCGTCCCGCGGGTTTTGCAGGCCAGGCGCGGGTTGCCGGTACATTCGAACTTTTGATGTAGGTCTACAAATACATCTTAAAAAAGAATAATATATCAACTTTAAGAATAAAAGAAAAAAATCAAATATCAGCACAGCCGAAGGTAGGAGAGACTTTTGGGGTCTGGTTTTTTTAACTTTTCCCCGAACTAGAACGACAGTTCATTAGCAGCCTAGAGCGGAGCATCGCGAGCTCACGCCTCACGCCATAGCGCCTCCAATTTTGCAGATGCAACACGGACATCCATCAAGCAAGTATAGTTGTATCTCTGCTCCGTCATCAAAGTGAGTCCTTTCCCTTGCTCTATTTCTTTCACTCTATCTCCGTGTTGTGTTGGCTCCGTTTGTCTCATTTGTAGCGGTGTTCGAAAAGCTATAAGCTACGTGAGCATCACAGCCGATAACTTCCATTTTTGTTGGCTAAATTAGGTTTCGGGTAAAAAATAATTGGGTGAAGTGTCTACCTACCGATTAACAACATCGTGCAATGGTTCAATCAACGTTTAGGGAGCGATTGAAATCGTCCCCTCTCGGGCAAAGTATCACAAGCGTCATGCGACGTTTCAAAATTTCCGCCGCCAGATTATTTTTTTACAGAGAAATTGTTGGTTGAATCTGTTTGAAAACTTCACTGAACTCTATCGGCAGCACAAAGAAAATGCAGTGAAATTTTTGAACAGCTTCGTTGAAAAATTTCTCTGTAAAAAAATAAATTGGCGGCGGAAATTTTTAAACGTCACATGGTGCTTGTGATACTTTGGGCGGAAGGTAAAGAAATGTGTTTTCCGAGAAGGTGAAATGTTGCAAGCGTCCAATAAGTGTGGTATCCACCTGAGTAATCTTGCAGATTTATTATGATGAAGCGAAGTAAATTCCTCTCGAAAACCTTTTAGTCATTAAACAAATTAGTGAAAATATACGCACGCGCATGGTCTAATCCAAAATTCCTATTCAGATCCACTCCTGAACATACAGTGTTTTGATGTCTCCAAGTCTTGGCCCGATTTTTTCTCCACATCCTATCCTGAATCAAAGTAAAACCACATACAATATTTCAAAAGGAAGAATAATGAGTGATAATCAAATCGGAGAGTGAGGTATATATTTTTATCCCTGCAGGAATTTCTATAAAAATATTTATTTTAACGCCAGGTGTTCAAGTTAAGTTCAGAGGTCAACGCTAATTTTTTCCGATGGTGATTCATGAGCTTTGGTGGATCCAGCAAATTGGCAACATTGTTTTTATGGAAATGTATGGATTCTTGGACGACAAGAATCGATTATTTAACATCGGTCTAAATGGAGGGAATCCGATGTTGCCAAATTGCTGGATCCGCCTCTGTCATGAGCAATTTGTTGAGAATGGAATTTGCCAAATGATGACTGATGTCGGGGTGAGCGCTTTGGCAATTTTTTGCAAATTAGTCCAGAATCGCTTAACCAAATTGCTCAACCGAATATGTAAGTGCTCACTTCCAAAACTAATTATTACACTATTCTGCTGTGATAAGGAAAAACGCCGTATGAACATTCGAGAGATGCAAAATTTCCTCCGATAAAATGTTTCTTTTTGAGGAGAGTTATCAACATTTTCCCTTGGAATTCGTACCTGACTTGAATCAAATTACGAACGAAATTCTCTGAAAAATTGATAGAAAAATGTTTATAAATATTCCAATAAATTCGTGACACAACAAAGGAAATTTGGCAACGCCTAAAGTCTCATACGGCGTTTTTCCTTTGCACGGCAGTATTGTAGGCAGGTATGAGGGGTCTTTAAAGTATCGACAGTGAAACTTCCAAACCATTTATATCGGTTTGCGACGTTGCAGACTTCCTCTCATAATAAAATAACCTCTTAATTTGGAAAAAGGCTTGCAAAAGGGGGACAAATTAAAAGCAAAACCCGAAACGTTTCGAAATAATCACAATTCCAGTATCTTTGGACCTTGGAGTATCACCGGAAAACAAAAAATAAATAAAAATGAGTAGTCGATTCGCTGTTATTGCGAGACCGAGATTCAATATATGACCTTCCTCTCATATTTTATTTCATAAGTAGAGCAATACTCAACGTCGATTCATAAGAACTTCCGAGATTATTCTTTTCTGTGCGAGGCAAATTCAGAATATGCTTCAAGGAATGATGTTGGTTTGTTCTTTCTTAGGAAAATAAAATAGGAGGGGATATTTTTAAACGCCGAAAATGAGATACGTGGCTCCCGAGTTTCACCGTCGTTATGATCTTTCTGTTTACTTGACCCTATTCATTCTTCCCAATGAGGGTTAGGTTCATACTTACTCCCTCGCTACTTAGCCCCACAATTCACACCCTTGACAATCCAAGGTGACTGATAACTCTCTGCCTTCGGGGGCAAATCAGCATTCAGTCATTTATCTGTGCATTTTCAGAGTGTAGCCTGCACACTGGTCTCGAAGAAGAGGAAGAAAAAAAAGCGACAAAAATGTACCCTAAACCGGGTTGGGGGGGGGGGGGTAGTTTATAGTACGTGTGGACTTGAAATCGGGAAAAATCAAAATCTTGGCAGTTTTTTCCTAATTTCGAGGTATCGCACTACGATTTTGATCAGCTTTTTTTATTCATTTGTCCATTGAATCGGTGTTGATCGGTTCACGTTTTCATTTTTCGTTCGATTCATGTCGATCGAATGCATACCCTCTCGTCACATTCAGGCAGACCTTCCATTATACCCTTTTTTATAACTGAACAATTCGCCTTTTGCTGCGTCTGCAGCAATTGTTGTTACGAATATGTTGAGCGTGCTGATTTCCGATCATTACATACTCGCCTCTCTGAAGGCGTTTTATGTGCGCAAGTAGCGCAATCTGTCGGAGAACGAAGGCTCAATCCCTACTTCCTTCGTTCTCCAACAGATTGCGCTACTTGCGCACATAAAACGCCTTCAGAGAGTCGAGTATGTAATGATCTGAAATCAGCACGCTCAACATATTCATAACAACAATTGCTGCAGACACAGCTGAAGGCGAATTGGAAACAACCGTGTAATATGCGTCGAAAATCATTTTAGCTCTTTAATAGAATTAATATTAATTATTACCAATAGAGAGTTGTATTTTATGGTCTTTTTATGAGTGATTCTCGAAAAAATGTTCAACATAAACTAAGTTTAAATGCAAAATAAAATATACCGCGTTCCAAAGTTTCATGCTTGGCAAGAAGTTTAGCCTAAACTTTCCGTCAAGACTAATGAAGCGCCAACACCATAATTCTCATGAAGCAAAAAAAAAACTGCGGCAAAATTTTTCCATAAACGGTTTCCATGGGGCCGAATCTGTGGTACGTGTAGCGTTCTCAGTGCTTCAAAAATTTACTCTGGAGACTTCCAAAACTTTGCTCCGACCTATATCCGAAAACGTCATTTCCATATCTATGACTTCGAAGCTTTCCTCTACATGTTTCATCGTGATGTGGATTTTTAATGATTCAGAGGAATTATTGGTAATACTTCAAAATGCTTTGCTTCACTCCGCATCAAACTCATGAGCCCTGGCTTTCGTTGATTTCACAAGACGTTAGAACTCATGAGTTTTTGGGCTTCCGCCCGTGTAACAGAAACTGATTAAGTGCTGCCGAGGGAATTATTTTCGCACCGGAGAAATCAGTTAGTGCTCCGGAGAAAAATATGTTTTCTTCTCAGCAATAACTCATCGTTCCGAAGGGAGAATATTTGTCTCCGGAACACTAACTGATTTCTCCGGAGCAGGGCCGGATTAAGGGGGTGGCCACATGGGTCGCGGCTCATGGCGGCAAATCTATAGGGGGCGGAAAATTTTGCAATTTTTTTAAATGTAGGTATGAAAAATCAGATTTAGAAAAAAAAAATTACAGACGAGAAAAGGCGACAAAATCTCTCATTTCCTGAGAGTACAGTAATTTCTAATTTTGTCGTCTTTCAGTGATACAAGAGACAGCACCTTTAATTAGTCGAGTTAAGAGAGAAACCAAACACGCAATTTGGCCTGGAATGGCGCGACTTAGAGAGAAAAAATGACGAGGACTTGAGATGAAAAGGAGAAGCTCTCGGCGCGGCGATTGGCTTGTAACACATATTAGCGCCTACAAGACTGCACGAATACTTCACGCATTGCATCAAACAGAGTAAGGTCATTTCGGACGGCGCAGCGTGAAACGGATAGCGCCTACAAGAATGCATGAATACCTCACGCATTGCGGCAAACACAAGGGGACCAGCGTGAAAGCGCCTACAAGACTGCGTGAATACTTCACGCATTGCGTAAAACACGATGCGGTCTGCGAGGCGCGGCGGCGGAAGTTAAAATCATTAATCCACATTTATGTTCGTTCTTTCATAATTTTTTGGTTCATTTTCTATGAATGGAAGGCCTTGTCTACACAGAGATAGGTTTACGAAACTTAACTTTCGCGCAAAGTTCCGTGAACTTTTGCTAAAATAGTGTTGACAGGGCTTTCCCAAAAAATGTGTTTAACACGAGAAAACGCGTCGTATGTACCCCTCCCCCGCTGGCACGTTCATTTGATCGTTTTTATTGATGTTTCAAAACGAATGAGAAGAAGGTGGCAAAATAACACAGGCGTCCCATGGGCGGCAAGTAGGTAAATCCGGCCCTGCTCCGGAGAGAAAATAATTCTCTCCGTAGCAATAACTTAGCGTTCTAAAGAGAAAACATTTTTCTCCGGAACACCCACTAATCCCTCCGGAGAGAATATAATTCTCTTCCTAGCATAAACTTCACGTTCCGAAGAGAAAATATTTTTCTCCGGAACACTTACAAATTCCTACGGAGAGAAAATAATTTTCTCCGTAGCACTAAGTAATTATTCATCCGGAGAGAAAATTCTTTTGCAGTGCCATAAAATCTTCGTTTCTGTTTTATTTTTTTGAGGGAGAACAAATCAATATCATTCCTTGAAGTTTTCACAGTCTTTTTCCCGACGAGCAGAGAAGACAGTTCAAGTAAGTTAGTCCGAGATACTTGGTACATTGGTTTCCCCGTCGGAGTATTTTCATCGCACATTTCAAAAATTTCCCCTCCCATTCAATTTTTCCGAGGAGAAATAAGCCACCTCTGTATCGCTTGAAATTTAAACAGAAGTAAGGGGCTCAGCCCCCTAGCCGCTACGCGGCCCAACCCCCAGAGGGCGCTTCGCGCTCTCTTAGGCTCGCTTCGACAATAGAACGAACAAAACAAATGAAAAGATTTTCATACCCGACTCTCATTTGTCCAATCTCCCTATGGCCGGGAGCGATGGGACCAATAAGAATCGTATGAAAAAAATCGTCATTTATTTCAAACTTCTCGCCAGGACTTAAACGAAACGGAACGAACGGGAAGGAGCTTTTCGTCGCTTTTGGATATATAGCCTGTAGCAAAGGAGCGTACTTTCGATTTACTTACCTTACCCTACTGACAGACCAAGACGATTCAAAATTTCCCGCTTTGTTCAATTTTCCGCTAAATTTGAAATTCCCGCCACTTAATTTTGCCCCCCCCTTCCTCCCTGGTTTACTCTTATACAGACTGGCCCAGACCTACCGTACCAGACCTTTTTTTCGGTTAATTTGGGTCGTACGAAGTCCAGGATCGCGGGGATGAATAGGGAATCGACCCTGAGAAATCAGAAGTTTATGGTCTCAGAGCCCCCCTCGCCTCCCTTGGGGGGTAAAAGGGGTGTGCGTACTTCAAAAGTCAGGATTTATGTCAAAATTTTGAAATTATTTAATCGGAATCAGAAAGTATGGGAATTTTTACCCTAAATCGACACCAAGAAATCCAAATCCGTGTCCAAAACACTGACCCCTAAAGGTGGGGGGCAGAGCCCCCTTTCAAAAAAATTCAAGTTCGTCAAATTGCCGTGGAGACTCGAAAACAATGTGTAATCATGGGTAATCGACCCCAAGGAATCCAAATTTGAGGGTCGCGTTGTCCTCAGAAACTTTTCTGATGGGGCGCAATGGGACTCTGAACGTTTAAATTTAACCGATGTGGAGGTTACCTCTGTGCCCCATCAGAAAAGTCTCTGAGGACAACGAGACCCTCAGATTTGGATTCTTTTTACCCCTTTTTAGCCCCCAAAGGGCGCCAGGGGGGCTCTGAGACCATGAAATTCGGATTCCTTAAGGTCAATTCCCAATTCATCCCCGCGATCCTCGACTTCGTACGACCCAAATTGACCGAAAAAAAGGCCTGGTACGGTCCCTAGTAGCATGATTCACTTTCCCCTTCCTAACAAACGTATAAGGAATTAATACCGGTTATATAATCACCATTTTAACTAAAGTTTATATATCGTGTATATAAGTTTTATATAAAATGCCCATGAAAATAATTATTCATATTTTCAGAAGATAACGTTTATATAAAATTTATATAATTGAGGAAGGGTTTTTATAAATTTTCTTTATACGCATAGTATCCTTTTGCTTAATTTGCTTATTATAACTGTTATATAAATGACCTGAATGACTTTAACGTAAACCTATCTCATTTTCATGAATGATGATGATGATCTCATTTCAATGAACACCCTCGACTCCTCAGACTGCGTGGGATAGGTATTATTAGAGGTACTAATGGCTCCGAGACGAGTTAAAAGGGGATATCTCGACACACAATCCGAGGAGCCCTGTTACCTCAGTTGGTAGCGCGTCTGGCTCATAACCCTGCCCAGTTAGACAGCAATATTTTAAAAATATTGAAATTTAATATATTTTTAAAATGTTTTTCATGTATTTTTAAAATATTTTCAAAAAGTACTTTTGAAATACAATCAATGAATATTTTTAAAACATTTTAAAAATATATTAAAAATATAAAAAATTAAAATTTTTAAAATAATATTTTATAATATTTTTAAAGTATATCATAATTATTTTTGTTAATATTTTAAAAATATTATTAAATATTATTTTAAAAATTTTGATTTTTTTTTAAAATGTTTAAATTAATATTATAAAAATTTAAAAGAAAAAAGGAAATGATAATAATAATAAATAAATAACATAAATACGTCGACATAAATTCAAACTAGAAAAAGGCCCAAATAATTAAAACTGGAAAAAGACGCAATTATAAAGTTAAAAAATAGAGAGAGAGAGAGAGAGTTAAAAAAATGAGAGTTAAAAAAAATAGAGAGAGTTAGAAAAAATGATAGTTAAAAATCATGATAGTTAAAAAAAAGAGAGAGCTAAAAAAATGAGAGAGAGTTAAAAAAAATGAAAATGAAAAAATTACATCATGAAATAAAAAACAATAAATAAATAAATAATAAATAATAAAGTCTGGTAAAATATCAAAACAAATAAGAATCCGTCAATAAACAAAATATTACGGACTCAGAGGCCTGCGATAGTTAAGAGATTGAATTTAGGGGCCCATTCATATCAAGCCTGGCTGGTCTGGTGGTAAAGTACTGGACTTCGGATTACAATTCCATCCCGAAGCGTGGGTTCAAATCCCGACTAGGACGGCGCGGATTTAAGGTAAGTCACAACTCTACGATGATCCACCACCTGGTAGTAACGCATATGAAAACTTGCACACTTCATAACTAGAGTGCGCTACCAGCCAGGAAGAATAATGAAAATTCATTTTATACACTCTTTGAATTTGGTTATATAACTTTTATACTAAGGGTTACGTAATAAAATAAGTTTTTTAGTAAACTTTTAACTAAAAAACTTTACATCCATTACATAAACAATGAATATTCTTTAGCTTGTGGTTATTTACGGTTTATACTTTTAAAAACAAATTTTTTATATAACTCTGCTACTAGGGGTAGGTCTGGGCCACCCTGTATAAAAGAACCGGGGTACTATTTCCAACATCTGATTACAGCGGACTCATCTAGGAACTATCACGTGTCGATAACCGCAAATATCATGGCAATAGACACAGTAGAACACTCAAACGAACTGTGACAAAAAATAAAAATTTACTTTGTTTACATGGGAGAATTCGCAACTTTACCACGTAATTAAAAATAATCTGGGTCATATTTTCAAGATTTGAATGCAGCTGGCTCATTAAGGAACAATTGCCTATCGATAACCGCAAAAATCATGAAAATCGGCGCAGTAGAATGATGGAACTTAAGCGTTACCAGATATGCAAATTTAGGAGGTCTCGGTGCTTATAGTATAGATATTGCATTTAAACTTAGTTCATGTAGACATTTTTTTCGAGAATTCCCGATAAAAATACCATAAACTACAACTCTCTATTGGTAACAATTGATATTACTTTTATCAAAGAGCTAAAATGTTTCTCAACGCATATTACGGTTGCTCCCAATTCGCCTTCAGCTGCGTTCGCAGCAATTGTTGTCACGGATATGTTGTGCGTGCTAATCTCAGCTTATTACAAACTCGACTCTTTGAAGGCGTTTAAAGTGGGAAAGTAGAGCACCCTGTTGGAGAACAACAGTAGTGAGATTGAATGAATCGCTCAATCCCTACTTCCTTCGTTCTCAGACAGATTGCGTTACTTGAGCACATAAAACGCCTTCAGAGAGTCGAATATGTAATGATCTGAAATCAGCACGCTTAACATATTCGTAACATCAATTGCTGCCGACGCAGTTGAAGGAGAATTGCTTTCACACATAAAACGCCTTCAGAGAGTTGAGTATGTAATGAACTAAAATCAACACGCACAACATAATCGTAACAACAATTGCTGCTGACGCAGCAGAAGGCGAATTGTTCGGTTAAAAAAAAGGATAGTCTGCATGTAACGAGAGGGTGTCGACATGAATCGAACGAAAAATAAAAACTTGAACCGATCAACACCGATTCAATGGACAAATACAAAAAAAAGTAGTAAAATCATTAGAAAACTTACATTTACAATGAAAATTTTAAAATTCCGATTCCTCGAAATTAGGAAAAAACTGATTTTGATTTTTCGCGATTTTAAGTCCACGCGTACCAGACTCCCCCATGCCACCCGTTTTTGGGTACATTTTTGTCGCATTTTTTTTTTTTTTGCGCCTCAAGACAACTGTGCCTGCTTGCCGTAAAAACGGAACCTACCGCCTCCGCTCCCTGGTCCAACTCCCGACAATGAGTGGTGAGGATAAGCACATGACAGTAGCGATTCTTGAAAATTGGCAACTGCGTCTTTTCTCCATTTAAACGTATGTTAAACAATCGATTCCAGGTGAGGCAGCCTGTTTCACCTAGAACCGATGTATTCAATGGATTTTAGGGGAGTACTTATAGTGTTGCCAACTTGCTTGAATCGCCACTGGCGCACGACGATGAGCGGGGAGGGGAAGAGGCGATTCCGCATGAGTTCCAGAGGGATGGAGGGGATAGCGGACTGCTCAGGCTTCATGCGCGTTACACGTTATTCTCATGATTTTATATCATAGAGTAAGTTATCGACTGCGGGCCGATTAATGAAATTGATGGACAAAGCTACAGACAAAGAAGACAAAAGAGATTTGGAGCGATCCTATTGGTGGAAGCGGGTGGTTGCAATGGACAAAGGAGGTAGGCAATAGACTAACTAACGGCAACCCACGAGAGACCCAACAGATAGTCAATAATTTCCTCCCTCAGTCTATAAGAACCATCCATTTTAACCAATAGGATCGCTCAATACCCCCTTTGTCTTCTTTGTCTATAGCTTTGTCTATAAATTTCAATTATCGGCTCGCTGGTTTGATTAACGCTGTCTATTTCAGTGCTGCCATTTCCCGGAGTTAATTCTGAAATTCCGAACTTTCCAAATAATCGTAACTTTTCCCGTAATTTTCTGAATCCCCGGAACTTTCAGCTATTTTTGGAATTTCCTCGAAAATTGCGGTTTTTCGCTAGATTGACCATATATTTGATCAAATTTAGGGGCTCTTGGATCAAATTTGATGCTGTTTGGAACTAAATCCGGGCGTATTTCGGAATTTTCCTCGGAACTCTAGCAAATCGGAATGTGTTTCCGGACATCGGAATTATCTTGGCATCTTTTGATAAATTATAATGGCAGCACCGGTCTATTTATCTGAGGAGTAGGTTCTTACTCACTAAATCCGGGCGTATTTCGGAATTTTCCCGTGGAATTTTTCTCGGAACTTTGGCAAATCGGAATATGTATCTGCGGAAATCGGAATTATTTTGGCATCTTTTGATAAAATACAGGGATATTCAAAAGTCACGCACCACTGGCCATGAGGGAGGTGGCCATTTGAAATATTTGAGTTGCCCCCGCCCTCCTCCCCCCGAGGAGATCAAAAACTGAAAAGTACCTTAAAAAGTTTCCCCCCTCAATATGAGGAAAAACGTCTGTCCTATGAACCGCAAGTCAATATCATGATTAGAACTTAAAGTTATGGCCAGTGGTACGTGACTTTTGAATAACCCCGTATAATGGCAGCACCGGTCTATTTATCTGAGGAGTAGGTTGATACTCACTCTGCTCATGGAGTAAACGTATCCGTCCGGGTTGAGGAGGGGCACGAAGTACCAATCGGTGGCGTTGATGAGTTGACCGTTGCGGGGGCGGTTGGTGACGAGTTGGTCGAGGACGTAGAGGACGACCGCCGGGGAGATCCACTCCCGGGCGTGGATCCCGCCCTCGAGGAGGATGGCTGGCTTCAGGCCGCCACCCCCGGAGGACACCCTCACCCCCTTGATCACGCGACCTTCCACGCTTCGCCCCAGAGGGAACACCGTCACCACCTCCGGATGAGACCTCGCCAGCTGATCCAAGTACCGGCTTATCTGCAACATGTAACGCCATTCGCGATAAATGGATCAGCGGACCGATGATTGAAACTGATAGATAAAGCGATAGACAAAGTTGACAAAAGGGATTTGGAGGGATCCTATTGGTGGAAACGGGTTGTTGCAATGGACAAAGGAGGTAGGTAATCGACTAAGTAACGGCAACCCACGAGAAACCCGACAGTTAGTCTATCATTTTCCCCCTTAGTCGATGAGAACCACCCATTTCAACCAATAGAATTGCTCTATACCCCCTATGTCATCTTTATCTATCGCTTTGTCTATCAGTTTCAATAATCGCCCCGCAGTTGCGCTCTGCCGTGCCGAGAAAAATCGCCGTATGAACCTTCGGGCGTTGCCAAATTTTCTTCGATATAACACGCATTCCCTGGTAAACTTATGAATATTTTTCTTCCAGTTTTTCAGGGAATATTCTTTGTATTTTGATCTAAAGTTCCTGAAAATTTCAAGGAAAAAGATTCACAATTTTCCTCATAAATGGATATTTTATCGAAGGTAATTTGGCAACTCTCGAATGTTCATACGGCGTTCTTCCTTAGCACAGCAGTGCTGGTCACAGAATCGTGTTTTGATGCTTTGGTTCTTGTGGATTAGCGAAAAATATTAAGATCCGCCCAAACCGCAACTTTCTACGTTCAATATTAACCGAGATATCGCCCTTTGAAAAGTCACACGGAAAAAAGAATTTTAGGGCTGGTACCTGCGCGGTAGGTCCCAGCCCTAACCGAGTAGGTAAAATTGCTTCAACTCATACCCCATGAGGGCAGGCCGGGCTCGCTGCCGTGCTAAAGAAAAACGCCGTATGAACATTCGAGAGTTGCTGAATTTTCTTCGATAAAACGTTTGTTTTTGAGGCAAGTTATGAATTTTTTTTCCTTGAAATTTTCAGGAACTTTAGGTGAAATTGCGAACAAAATCATCCGAAAAATTGGAAGAAAAAAATTAATGAGTTTCTTTCAAAATTTGTGTTTTATCAAAAGAAATTTGGCGATGCCAGAAGGTTCATACGGCGTTCTTCCTTAGCACGGCAGCGCGGTAGAGCCCAAACCTACCTGCTTCAGGGTTCAGCCCTACTTGGTAAAGGCTGGACCCTGTCTAGGTTGGGCTGGGCCCTACTCGCGCAGGGCCTGCCCTTGTGGGGTATGAGGTGAAGCAATTCTAGGGCCCATCCCTAATCTTATTTTTTCCGTTCAGGTTTTTGACGTCATCCACCGAGATAGTGACACCCTTGGTATCTTCCATCTTGCTTTCATTTGTCAGTGCGACGCACATTTGCACCAGTTACTTAACGTAAAACTCTGATGAAAGCAAGGTGGACAGAGCCAGATTTCAGGGGGTGGCCACATGGGCCGCGGCCCATGGCGGCAAACTGTAGGGGACGGCAAATGTTGCAATCTTTTTGATTGTAGGTATCAAAAAAAGAGAGAAAAAAATCGTATTCAATAAAGAAAGCACAAACAAGAAAAGGCGAAAAAATCTCTCATTTCCTGAGAGTAAAAGTATAGTAATTTCTAATTTTGTCGTCTTTCGGTGATACAACGCAATTGACGCAAACAACGCAATTTGACCTGGAACGGAGCGGCGCGGCAGTCGGCATGAAACGCATAGCGCCTACAAGACTGCATGAATACTTCACGCATTGCGTCAAACACACTGCGGTCAGCAGCAGTCGGCTTGAAACGCATAACGCCTACAAGACTACATGAATACTTCACGCATTGCGCCAAACAGTGTGGTCAGGTGCTGACCGTCAGCAGCGGTCGGCGTGAAACGCGTACCAAATGGCAATGAAAAGTGAAATTGTTAGGAACTTTATCAATTTCAGCTTTCCCAAATTAAATCCTGAAATTTTTGTTTGAAGTTATGTTCTATTATTTTGAACCAAACGGTACTTCAAACCACTGTCGAATACGATCTATTGATGTTTCCGAACGAATGAGAAGGGGGCGGAAAAATACAGGCGGCCCATGGGCGGCAAGTAGGTAAATCTGGCCCTGAAGGTGGAAGAAACCAAGGGTGTCACTACCGCGGCGGATGACGTCAAAGACCCGACTTTTCAAAGGGCAATATCTCGGTTAATATTGAACGTAGAAAGTTGCGGTTTGGAGAGATCTTATTATTTTTCGCTGATCTACTATAATTAAGCATCAAAACACGATTCTGTGAGCGCAACTGACCCACTGCTTAGACAAAGAAAGATCCTCCATTATCAGAATCTGAGCTCAGATAAAAGCTTTCATCTGTGGGGTACAACGTTTAAATTTTGACCCACCTCTCGGTCGGCTGTTGAGCGGCATGATGATGAGCGCTTCATTTAACAAACAAGCCAATGTTTGGTAAACTTATCTGGCGCATTGCATTATCCAAAGCTCATCAGGGAACAGGGAGATTAATGACTGTTGCTACCTTAAACTTTTAATATTCCATGAGGATGAGGAAATTCTAAATCACTGAGTGTAAAAAAGACCCTGCAGGATTGATGTTTTAAATTACCAGGATGACAATGGAAAGTCTCGAATTGTCACTGGTGCATATCGTTGGCTTGCTTTCATCGATGACCGACGAACATTCATTGTTGGAACTATAGTACTCACAATCAGAGGAAAGCAACAATTGTGAGTTGGCTTTTTATGCTTTTGACCGTGGCATTAAAAGCTCTCCAACCTCTACAACTATATCCTGCTTAGACAGGAGCTGGTCACGACGGTCAACTCCTCATATTTAGACGTATTTCTATTAAACAGATTTATGTGCAAGTGAGAAATATGGGGTGTGCTCTAGAAAGCTGGAGAAGAAACAATGTAAAAGGGGGCGTGATTCCTTATGAAGAATGGACCACTAGACAAGGTACGAATTTAAGCAATCTGATACTTGTTTCTTAACCAGAACTTCACGTAGAAAACGATTCACACAACGAAAATTACTGAAACCAACTCCTAACGAAGATAGTAACATTTTTATTTCACATTGGTTAAGAGGAATTTGAACTGCCCGCTCACGAGAAACTCAAAGCTCTACGTGAGTCAAATCGCGCTTTACAACGGTTTCAGCAAGCTTCTCAATCGAGCAATGTTCATTTCCCACCACGTGTTGTTCAAACTATTGGCAATTTGCTGTAGCTGAGGTAAAGTGTCAAGATAGAGGTTGCCAGATTTTTACATCGCAGAGACTGTCATGATAACGTTAGCGCGCGATGTGAATCGCGTAGAGCATTGAGTATTCATGAGCGGGTGGTTTGAATTCACGCATCAAGAATCATTAAATATCTTCGTAAGGAGTTAATTGCAGTAATGTTTGTTGTGCGCATCGTGTTCTACGTGAAATTTTAGTTACGAAACATGTATCAGAATGCTGAAATTCATACCTAGTCTAGTGGTCCATTGGAAATGAGGAATTTTAAATTCAGCAAACAGAACTATGTGCCAGCTGAATACGGGATTCATGAGCCGCGGGAATGGCACGAGAGCGTTGTGGACAGGGCTCATGAGTTAAAGCGATGATCTCCGTCTCGCGCCCCGGCTCCATCATTGCCGCTGACGTAACTGGCGCTTTATTATTCTCATTCACTCTTACGGCCAGAGAACTGACGATCACACTCCATATTTCTCACCTCCACATAAATCTGTTTGATAGAAATACGTCCATTTTTGCTTGGATGTATTTGAGGGTGAAAGGAATTATGTGGAAATGAATATAATCAAAAGGATCTATTTATACATGTGCCTAGGGTTTACGAGCTCCTTTTAATTTATCCGTTTTCCACATAGTTTCTGCTGGCACGGGAAGTCCAATTAGACTATATTTTGCCACTAGGAAGTACGATTTCAGGCTCAGTTTAGAAACAACGTACGCACCGTTAGTTTCCCTATGCACATACGAGTTTTTTCAGCCGAGCCAGTGATCGTAGTTCATAATTGCGAACTGTAGTCCACTTGGGAGTCCTACGATTGCCATTTTTGTTGAAATGTTGCGATTTTGGGATGAATCTGGAGTGAATTTTGTATCTCAGCGCGATACCCTCACTAAAAGGAGCGTTATGATTCATTTTCAATTTTGCGGTCGGAAGGCAAAATTTTGAGAAATCAATGTTCGTTATCTTAAATGCTCTTTTTGCATAATATGCTCATAAGACTATGTCCGTAACTGCAGTGGTCTCGCCATATTTGAAAAAAAACTTACCTCCAGCTCTGTGTTGTATTTTGTAAAAGAGATAGGATTTGTATTGATGAAAGGATGTTCCCATAGTGATTTTCCCTCACTTCTTCCAGGGAAGAGAGAACTGTTGGGTCGGCGTGGAGGAGGTCTTGAAATAAGTTCTTCTCTGGGCCTTAATATCATGAGAAAGACGTTGCATTATAATCTTTAAAACAGTGATGACCACGATCAATTTGAAACTATCGAAATTATCTACAGAGCTGTTTTGTTAACCACCGGCGATGTGCCATTAATGAGCTGCATTGATGACTGAAAAATTCTAGCAAGACAAGACAGGTGGCTCCTTGAAATGAGTATATTTACCGTAAGGTGGCAGCACTGTTTGATCTCAAAAGAGATGCATATCGAGGCGAAACTACAGAAAAGCTTATCTCAATTGGACCGCGTTCAGCAGAAAGGAACCAAGCCATCACGGAAAAAATTAAATTGCTCATTTAACAATGCAATTGCAAAAAAAAGTGACTGCAATGTTTCAATGTAAATTTTACAACACAAAAATGCTACTTTAACCACCCCCGTGGTTAAATCAGCCTACAATAGTAGTTAAAGTAGCATTTTTTTTTTTTGTAAAACTTACATTGAAACATAGCAGTCACTTTTTTTTTAGCAATTAAATTGTTAAATCAGCAATTTATTTTTTTCCATGCACACCAGCTGCTATTGCAAAATTTAACTGGGCAATTCCATTTTTCACAAGAGAACGTCTGTGCGGATTCTTTTGAAAATTTCAAAGAATTTTGTTCATACTTTGCAGAAAATTAACTAAAATTTGTACAAAATCCGCACAACCCTATTCATCTAAAAAATTAAATTGCTAAGTTAAATTTGACAATAACTGGTGTATGGCTTGAGCCCTTTCTGCTTAACGCGGTCCAATTTTCAGCGTAAAAGAAACGTACCTATGTATAAAAATCCATTTATATTATTTAACTCTTCATTAGCGGTTTTTTTGGGTGAAATCCACAGACTCTTATCACTTAAAACTTATTTTAGGAGTTTTTTCATTTACTTACAACTTTAAAAATCGTATAAATTATTGGTTTTTTATGTTTTTGCAAGTTATTTTATACGCTACGCTACTAGACAGTTTTCCTCGACTGATCCAAAAGAAATATTCACTCACCTGTTATCAGAGAGGAGAAATCTATCGCTAAGTCCTAATGTTGACACATACCACACTAGGTACAACATTTTTGGAGGCAAGGGATGAGGCACCGTCACTTTCCCACCGACAATTCGAGCTATCGTTTTTTGTGGCTGCATCTTGAGTTTTTTTCTCTCTTCCTTTTTTTAAGTGGAAACTTGATAAAAACAAAATTCTCAAACTTACTCTCTCTCTCGAGTCGTTAAATTTTCCGAGACTTAGTATCAAGCAAGATTTTATTGGTAGCTTGAAACTTCGTCTTCAGCTCAGAAAAAAATTATTTTGTATTTATTTTACTTCATTCATTTTTGGAAGGGTGACAAGGCGTTCCAAGTCACTGATTCCCCATCAGCTGCATAGGAACGGCGTGTATGTCACCCATTAGTCGAGTGTCACCGCAGTAAGTTTTCAAAAATGATTATTGTTTCATTGAAGAGTTGAATACGTATTTAGTTAAAAAATTTGATTCCTCCCACGTATGATGAGATGAGAAGAATCGAATAAAAGATATGTTTCGATGAGAATAATGTCAGTTGATTTTGTCTGGAACGTGTTTGACTATTCTCATTTTTAGAAACCGATTGCTCTTGCCGATATGTCCTAATTAATGCAATCGTTACAATTTTCTTCACAGACATGACATTTTTAATTTTTTAAGGTTTACGTATTTTCAATTTATTTTCACATTTACTGAACAAGATGATCTTTGAGAGGTATTTTTTAATCGCAAATCAAGCCCTGTTATTTTTACAATATCACTAAAACTCACTTTTATTGAGGCAGGAGCCAACAGCATGGATTTTTTCCCCCAATACACTGACACCACACTATAAACACACCGGCAGTTATGAGGATTATCTAATGTCATCAAAGAAACTCGAGCTCAAGAGAGTCATTTTTCACTTGCACAGTTCACTATCACTCACAGTCTCCACCGCGATGTTGTAGAGTGAAAAAGGCACTATGCGTGGGCGAGTGGGCATACGAGATTTAAGTGTTTGGTAATTTTTCGTGTTGCAAAGTTGCATCATGATTTTTTTTTAGGATATTTGAAAACGATTACCTCACATGGCTCGAACTGCATGTCCGACCTCGATGAGCACGCGCACCGTTTTGGCACGAAAGCCGTACCTCCGAAATGACGATCCTCGGGCGTGATCAATATCGCCAGATTTCGCTGAAAATCCAGCATGTTTTCCCAATCAGCTCTAGAATATCTGTACACGGGAGAGAATTGCCATCTCTATGCCGCTCTCTGATTGGTTCATCAGTTTCAGGCTATCATGGAGCTCCAAAGTTGGACCAATGTAAACAAACTCGACCGTGAGGAACACTTATTATCGGCTGAGAAATGAATGATAATCACACTCAAAGCTTAATTTTCGGCAAAAATATTCATCGAAGTTCGATCCGAACTCAACTCAGAGGTTGGATGTAAAACAATTTCTATCACACCCAAAATCACGTCTAGAACTTTGCAGAACTTCTCCGCCATCTTGTTTGTTTACATTGGGCCAAATGAATTAAACAATGAATTTAAAAAAAAAATGAATGAATTAAAATAAAATGAACTTTTTTTTTAAATGATTTTTTCGGAATATTTATTCTCATTGGTCCAACTTTGGGGCGCCATGATAGGCGACCAATCAGAGAGCGGCACATTTTTTTTGTATTAAAAGGATAATTGAGATGGCAATACTCTCCCGTATACACGTACTATAATCAGCTCAACATAAAATATCCGGATTTTCTCACATAACCTGGCTCCTATGGGCGTGATCAATTTCTCCCTCAATCATGCTTAGAATAGACATCGATGCCGGGTGAGAGGCAATGACTTCATCTCCCATTCGTTCTCAGTGGCGCAGACGGGGAGGGTGGGGGATATCCAGACCGAAAAAATTTCACCAAAAAAAAAAATGAAATTTTCGAGAATTTTTTCCTCATTTCGACCCCCCCACCCCGATTAACAATTTCTGGCTGTGACTGGCTTATAACCTCTCTGTCCCTCTCATTAGCTCTGTGGACTGATTATTGGAATTGATAGGCAAAGATATAGACAAAAAGAATGAAGGGAAAATTTAGAAATCCCATTGGTTCAAGCGGATGGTTGCAATGGAAAGAAGAGTGACGTAATATATACTAACTGACAGTAACCTACGAGAGAACCTACAGTTAATTCATAATTTTTCCTCTTAATCTAGAAGAAACACCCGTTTTAATGAATAAAATGGCTTCCTCGCCCTTTGCGCGATTCGCCCCTTTTCCTCTCGTCCTCTTCGCGTCATCAATTTCAGTAATCAGCCCACTGATAAGGCAAGCTTCCTAAGTAGCTCAGGTTACATGATAAAATCATTGCTATTGTATTAGAGTGTGGTGCTGTGTATATTGTCTATTCACTGGTTGGAGGGGCTCTTTTCTTGAAAATTTATTGAAATTAAATTTGAAATAAGTTGCGATTTATTTTTTATATATTTATTTAATTTTTTTTGCATCGCAAATTTCCGATAACTCACTTATGAGAATGTTTTTATTGATCATTTAAAAACGGCATTTGTTGATCAAATGATATAAAAGTATTGCAATGGTAAAAGAGTTGGCATTTTACTGTATTATGTTGAAAAATTATTTCAATATTTTCGTTGTGTTGTGATTCCTCAGTAAGATCCCCCTCCCCTCTATCCAAGAGAGTGTCTTACGTAATAAACCTGATCTGATCATACCTTCCAGTTTTTTGCCGTATAATCAGCAAGATTCAAGCATCGGAACTGGATTCTGTAACAGCTAGGTGCACCCGCGCGTGCATTTCACAGGTGGTTTTTTTTCTGATCAAGAAAGTTTTCGCCGCTCGGGTCTCGGGTGAAATTTTCGGGGATAACAAAACGAGACAACGAGGCTCGGCGCATGTGCACTTAGTGTCCGTTCACACACGACCGCGCATGCGCAAAGAGCCTTTATTGGCCGATTCGCCGCGGTCGATTAATTTAAATTAACACGTTACCAGCCTCAGGCCAGGCGCACATGTTTACCGGCCTCCAAAGCAAACCGTAAAATTCACTCCGCTCGAGAAACGCTCACTCCACTGGCATTGCCAAATTTCCCAACCAGTCCCGGAGATGTACATCCTAGTAGCAACGGCTGTTTATGTAAATTAAAAATTAAAAAATAAAATATATACCTAGAAAATAAAAAATAAAAAGTAAAAAGTAAAATATAGAAAATAAAAAGTAAAAAGTAAAAAGTAAAATATAGAAAATAAAAAATAAATTATAGAAAATAAAAAATTAGACAAAAAATAGAAAATAAAATATTAAAAGTAAAAAATTAAAAAAAAGAAGTCTTCTTCTTAAAATATATTCTGTGAAGAATTCACCACTAAAATCCAATGTGAAAACGTGAGTGTCCTCTCTCTTTCCGCCACGAGGCTCCAAGTAATTTTGAAACCTTAAACAAGTATTTTTCGAAATGGCAAAAACTTTCTTTTACGCGCCTTACTCTACAATCGTCTCTACTGTAGTTTCTTGACATTTAAATATAGAGAAATAGTTTTGAAATATTCTTAAAACATTGATAAATAACAACATTATAAATAACAACAGTGCATGACTAACACAATCAACATGAATTTGAAGAATCAATGATGAAAAGGGCACAGAGTCACTTTTTCCAAGTTTCAGAGAAACGTACACATTTCGTAAAAAAAAGTATGACTTTTTTTTGGAGAAGGGGAATTTTTTGGGGCAAAAATTTAAATTATAGCTTTGGACCAACATGCGATTAGCCATGAAAAGTTCTAAAGTTTAAAGTCACCCTTATTACACGGATTCCTTCTAGAAAAAAAGGATGTGTGCCTTTTTGGCACTAACTTCTTCGGCAATTGTAAATTCTTTCACACGAGTACATTTTTTTTTTCGGTTTTTCTTTATTTTTTGAAAATTCTCAAATTTTCGGGAGATACATTTTCTCTTAGGGTATCAGAATTTAATTTTTTTTTAACAATTTAATTGGACTTTTAACGATTTCTCTCACTTACATTCATGTATCAAGATCAGTTCATTCCTTATAATTCTCAAATTCTAAGGGGGCTTATATCCTCGTGGATCCCCAAAATTCAATTTTCGCCACTTTCTTTTCGCCACTTTCTTTCTGGTTTTTTTTTTTTTTTTTTTTTTTTTTTTTTTTGGATGTGGCTGTGTTCCTCATGAGTGCTGTATCACCTTAGTTTAGTCATACTGCTGTCTTGCCCCCATTTTATCCTGTGTACTTCGAGTGGTATCCAGATATAGCCTAAAACGAATCTCTTTATTCCTTTTTCGCTAGGTACCTATTATCGACACACTAGTATCTGGTTATCAAAAATGATAAAAATATGAAAATACAGTTAGCGGAAGATCCGCCTGATCAATGAACAAAATGACCTCATTTCGAGGTTATATTTGACAACATCATCTTCAATGACGGTCATTAGACCCAATGAAAGTGATGCGCGCTTCCCGCAGTCTCTTTGGCCCACGGACGATGTCTTTTCCCTTTCGATAGCGGAAGATGAATTTTTCATATTCTTCTTCGTCTCTTCCTTTTTGGGAACACGCACCATTGTACAATGGAGAACCATGGAGTGCTTTTGAACCACACATTCCACGATTCCATAGATCGAAGCTCAGCTTGAATGAATGACAATCTTTCACCTTATTACTAGTTGATGATACACCTTCTTGTCAGTGGCGTGGCGCGCTTCGTGATCTATTGATTGATATCAGTGGCGCGGCGTGAATTGCGATATATCGATTGATATGCCATTTAAACCTATGGCGAAGAATCGATTATTAAGGTGTTCGCTGCGAACACCCTATTTATCGATCCTTTTCCATGGGTTTAAATGTCATAACAATCGATATATCGTAATTCATGCCACGCCACTGATTGATATGCCATTCAAACATGTAGAAAAAGATCGATTTTTAGAGCGTTCGAAAAGAACGCCGTGATAATCGATTATTTACAATAGCTTTATAAAAGGGAAAATATCGATAGGTGGATTATCACGCCTCGCCCCTGTTTCTTGTCTGGATAAGCGCAAAAACAAAAATTAGACGATTTATCGGATCTTGCGTGATTTTCCCCAGGAATTAGTCTGAAAGTTAGTCTCTCTTGTCCAGGAACCGTGTTTTCATGGTTTTTAGTCTTGCAGAAAATAAAAATGACGCATTGTTCATGAGGCATATTTTAAGTGGCCGTTCACAAGATACGTAACGTTTTTGGGACAAAGAGGAGATCTGATTCTGCGTTACGGGTGTGTTACAGGCTAAGACTGCCTTCCTAAGAAAGAACGTCGTATGAACATTCGATAGTTACCAAACTGTCTTCGCCAAAATGTTTAATTTTAGGGAAAGTTAGGAATGTTTTTTCTTAAAATTTTCAAGATGTTTAGCTGAAATTGCGAGCACAATTATCTAAAAGATTAGAGGAAAAATATTCATTTTACCTGGAAATTCGTGTTTTATCAACCGAACTTTGGCAACGCCTGCAGCTTTATACGGCGTTTTTCCGTAGCAAAAAGAGGGGAGTAAAAGGCTGCGTTACGCGACACCGAAATCGGTCCGGAGTCAGGGACTGGGTGAGACCCCTGAATTACTTACACGCTGAAGTTAGGCAATGCTGCGTTGAAATTCCTATATGCTTTTAATCGTAAGTTTTCAATCGACATGGGAATTTTACAGGGGTCATAACTCGTCCTATTCCTCGTTT